TCATGACTATACCTTTATACCAGGTGTGACTTAGGGCAAAGTTTTGGTGTGGGCTGAGATAAAGAGGTCCTTACTCTCTCTAAGGGTCGATGCTAGGGGTTGAACACTATTAAAATTCTTAGAAAACAAATGTGAATTTCATGTTAGATCTTTATTGTAAGTACCCCTTAATGTTTTTAATTTTTAAATAGTGGAGGCTGTCCAGCTGTAGCAGTTTGATGCCAGCGATTGCACATTTTCCCCTCCAACAGAGGGTAGTTGTTCAGGGCGCAGAGTCCAGTGATGGTGCCAATGGGGCAGGGGTGGAGGGTGGATGGAAACTGCTGCTTTGGTCTCCTCAGTGCCCAAATCCAGAAGGGCAGTAACACTATTATTGTTACTCCTTGGCATCCATGGTAGGGGGGTCAACAGCAACCCCCTCTAAGTCTCCTTGGAGAGTCTAGAAAATCTCTCTCCTATGCATGACTCCCTGTGCTGTAGCTGGGGACCCAGAAATGCCTCTCCAGAGTGTACTGCTGCCTGTGTGTGGTCTTTATCACAGTAGTGTGGACAGAACTGGTCACAGGAAGAGCATGTGTCCCCCGGCATGCACAGCATCTAGATGTTCTAAAGGCCTTAACCTGCCTCTTGTGAACTCGCAACACCACCTAGACTCATGCCTAATCCTTGCAATGGATGTAGGCTTGGCTTTATATCTGGTACGGGTGTTTTGTTCAAGTGCTCTCTCTTAATAGCACCCACATCTCAGGTTCCCACCAAAGTCATGTTTGTCTTATCAATGAGAGTAAATCTTAAGTAAACACAAGTAATCACTCTGTGTGTGTGTGTGTGCTGGTCCTGGGACTTGAGCTCAGGGCCTGGATGCTGTCTCTGAGCTTTTTTTTTCCCTCTCAAGGCTAGCACTTAAGGCACAGATGAAATGGTTTTCTGGTAGTTAGTTGGAGTTGAGTCTCATGTACTTTCAGCCGGGGCTGGCTTTGAACTATGATCTTCAGATCTCAGCCACCTGTGTACTAGGATTATAGATGTGAGCTACTGAGACCCAGCTCATTATCACCTTCTCTGACATATAACAAAATGTAGGGCAATCAAGGCTAAAAGTGGACCAGTGTTGGAAACAGAGAGGCAGCTGTGACGGCCTCACGGTTGTACTGCTCAGGCCTCGGTCCTTCTGCTGAAGGTTAAGGCTAGATCATGCACATTTTCCAACGTGAGAGAGAAGTACCTTATAAATTGATCTCCCCTTGTAATGTGTTCCTGTCTGTTGGTCACTGAAAGAGAATTCTATGGTATGAAAGGCAGGATAAACTAACCTAGAATTGAATATATCTGGCTACTGAATTAATGATGGTTATTTCCAATTTTTTCCCTTTTCCTAATTCTTGTTTATTTATTTTTAGCTCTCCTGATTATGCATTTCGTCTTCTTCTGCATGTAGTGTTCCTTCAAATATCTTCTGCAATGCCAGCTTAGTTGTCACATGGTTTAAGTTGATGATATACGGGCTAGCTGTTTTCATCCTTCTATTTTCTTTTCATGTTTTATTCCTTCTATTTTCTTATTGGCTTACATTAGTTGTATGAGGGGGTTCATGCATAGATTTCAATCAATTTCACCCCTCTATCACACTCCCTGCCCCTTCTCCCTAAAGAATAGCATTCTCAATAGGTTTCTAGATTCCATTTTCATAGTTACAAAATCTATTGTGATAGTATTCAACCTCCTCTATTATCCTCATTAGTCTAATCCTCCCCCATTAGGCCCCACCCATGGATAGTATACTTCTCTCCCTTTCCCTACTGGCCATCACCTTTTGTTGAGTTTCTCTATGGTGTTGTCATATATACTAGTATTGTGTCACAAAGTTATTCTCTTTGGTTTTCCTCTTCCCTTTCCTTTTCCTCTTGAGTGATTTCTTAGTTTGGTTTGTGTTCTATGCTTGACAACCTAAGAATGTGTGTATGTGTATATGAATGTCTTTTATGACTAGCTCCCACATAATGAGTGAAAACATATGGTGTGTGAGTGTGTGTGTGTGTGTCTGTGTGTGTGTCTGGGTATGCCAGTGCTGGGGCTTGAACTCAAGATGTTTAGGTGCTGTCTCTGAGCTCTTTTGCTCAAGGCTAAATTCTACCACTTGAGCCACAGCTCTATTTCCAGCTTTTTTGTGGTTAATTGGAGATATGAATCTAGTGGACTTCCTTGCCCAGCTGGCTTTGAACAATGATCCTCAGATCTTAGCCTCCAGTTTAGGTAGGATTACAGGTGCTGTATTTTTATTTGAGCTTGACTTACCTCACTTAGTATATCCTCTAGCTGTATACATTTTCCTGAAAATGATTTTATTTTTATGGCAGTGTAATATTCCATAATATGCCAGTATCAGAGTTTGAACACAGAGCCTCACACTTGCTCAGCTTGTTTGTCTACAGCTGGTGCTGTAATACTTAAACCACAATTCACCTGGCTTTCTGAATTGGCCAGGGCTGGCCTCAAATTTCAATCTTTCAGGATCTCAGCCTCTGGGGCAGCTATTATTACATGTGTGAGACACTGACTTCTAGCAAGAAGCTCTCCTTTTTATGTACTAGGTGGTACTACTGCCTTGGAAGCTTTAAGGCTGGACTGATTCCCACTTGCTGCAGAAGTGCTTCAGTATGCACAGGGAGGGTGGGCAAATGTCCAAGCTGAGCTCTTCAGCGGCGAAGAAGCAGACAGAACACTCTATTCTGCACTGAAGAGGGACTCTGGCATTCTGACTCCAGTCTCAGTGCTCTCAGAATCTACTTAGCAGTAAGCACTACGTGGAAATAGAATAATCCTTTGACTTGGGCTCAGAGACCTTCCCAATAGCCATTGCATGCCAGCAGGAAGGCAGCTCTGAAGTCAGCCAGGGTCTTGAAGCTCCCCAGCTCCCCAGTACTCCAGTGGGGTTCACTACTCACCATAAAGGACTGCTGACCTCCGTGCCCTCCACACCCATATGCTTTGACTCTGTGTTGACCCTCCCCATCTCTCCCCATCTCTGTCCTCAGACTCCTTTAGTGATTCTTCCTTGTTTCCAGATCCTGTAAGTAACTCAGTCTTGAGCAAATTGGATCCTCTCAAGATGACACCTGGCAATCGCACTCTGAGGTATGGGGAGACACCTAACAGGTTTATTTCCCAGTTCTGGCTGCCAAGTACAGGAGTCACCACCACACCAATCCCTGCACTGGATTTATGGCTCACAGGATTGCGGCCTTATTCAGCCATCAAGGCTGCATGGCTGTGGTCACCAGGACTGACTGCACTTGCCAGGACTAACCTGCCTTGAGCTGCAGCTCAGGTTCTCCTGTGGACACCCGAGGTTAGCGTTACAGGCTCCTTTTTCTGCACGGCCCTTCTGTTTCTTCATGTCTTCCAGCTGTCCTGTCACCCCTTTCTTGTTTCCCTATGCTCTTCCTCTCTTTCTTTATGATGTAACTCTCTCTTTTGCTACCCTGATGCTTCTTTTCATGGAGTCTTGCAGAGGAAACCTCTAACTCACTATCTTACCCTGGAAACATCTTTATAGATGTGGAAACTGGTTACACCAGTAACAAGAAACTTACATTTTTCCTATTAACTGGTACAGTGAAAATTCCTCTTATTTATTCCCCTTTTGTCCCCTCTTCCCCTTCCTGACTCCCTCTCTCCACCCCCATCTCTTTCTCCCTCTCTCTCCCCACCCCTTCTCTCTCTCTCTTGTATCAGTGCAGGAGCTTGACCTCAGGGCCTCACACTCTCCCGTGGCGTTTTCCTCTCAAGGCTGACACACTGTCAGTTGACCCACAGCCCTACTTCCCTGTCTTCACTTCTTTCTCTCACCCTATGAAACAATGCCCCCAAATGCCCAATGAATACACTGTAAGCATTTTTTATGGATATGTCACAACCCTCTGCCATCATAAAAATCAGGTTCGGACACACTGTATTTTTAACTCGGTTATGTGAACCTAATTTGCAAACGGTGGAAATTCACTAAGAAATGCAGAATCAGTAAAATAATGCAGATTGATACGTAAGTATAAAGGCTTGTAAATATTTCATGAAAGAACAGAAACATTTAAGTTCTACTTCATTTACTCAGGTGGTATATGCATGTTTCCTGTTATTTACCAGGACTTATCTGTGTCTAGGAGTATAAGAATGAAAAAAGACAAAGTTCTGTTGTACTATCTGGTGGGGAGAAGATAAAAATAACAAATATTGAAGCATTTCAAATATTGATACATGCTATAAGGAACCTAAAATCAATGATATGAAAGTACCTGATAGGCCTATAATCCTAACTACTTGAGAGGCTAAGATGTGAGGATCACAGTTCAAAGTCAGCTCAGGCATGAACATCCAGGAGACTCTTATCTCCAATTAACCACCAAAAAGTTGGAGCTGTGGCTCAAGTGACAGAGTGCCAGCCTTGAGTAAAATAGTTCTGGGAGACTACCCAGACCCCGAGTTTAAGCACCAGGTTAGGTGCACTGACACAGACACAGACACAGACACAGACAGACAGACAGACAGACACACACACACACACACACACACACAAACAGAAAAAAAGTGCCTGATGGGTGTTCATTCACAGGGTGCTAGGGCCATAATGTCCATGGCCAGATCCAGGCTATAGACTAGCAGGTGTTTGGTGCTCAGCAAACCTTACTGTGTTTTAAGTTTTCTCATTTGTAAAATGGGGCTACTCGTGGTACTTACTTCACAGGGTTGTCAGACAAAATTCATGTGTCTAGAGGAGCTTGAACTGCGTTATCTGGCACACACTATCTCTTCTCTATTTTCCTGAATAATTCACGTTGAGCTAAGGTTTCAAAATTAGGAAGAGGCTCCACTAAAGAATATGGATGACGTAAATGGGATCTGTTACAAATAAAGAACAATTAGAACAAGATCCAGCTCCTTCCTTTATATTTGTAGGGCAAATCAAAACGAAAATACGTGATTAAATCACAGCAGCGGCCTCGTCACCCCTCTTGGCCTTCCTCCGAGCTCTCCTCGCTCGCCTCCTCGCTGCTCTCTCCCTCACTCTCGCTGCTGCTGTCCTCCTCGCTGTCTTCGGCCTCCTCCTCCACATTCTGGGCTTTCTCTGCCACAGAAAAGAAGAGAAACGCTCAGTGTGTTCCTCAATATCTCCACTCCCCGCTCTCTGTTCTTCCTTCTACCAAGAAATACTTATTTCTGGAAATGGAAGAAGAATGGAATTGAACTTGGCTAGCTAGATGAAGGGTCAAAGTAGCAGAACGAGGAAGAAATATATTCTGACTGGCATGAAGTTTGTGGGTTTACATGTTAATTAAACACATGGGTTTATAAAATCATTTTTTTTCTGTCGTCAGTGAAATTTTTAAATAGAAAAAGAATTGAGATTTCCTTAAAGTTGTATTTCCTTAATACGCAGAGGTGGTTAACATGTTCTGCTTTGGGTACCCAATACCTTGGAGCCAAAGACCCTGCTTTGCTTGGGCAGTTCCACCCACTGAGAGAAAGGGGATCATTTGTATCATCCATGGAGGATAAGCTGATTTCACTAAACCATGTAAGACAGTCAAATAGGTCTTTTTTCATACTTTTTTTTTTTTTGGTACTGGAGTTTGAGCTAAGGGCTCAATACCGGAGTCATACCTCCAGCCTTAGTGGGTTTATTTTTAAAAATAGGATCAGGCTCTTTACTAGGGCTGCCTGGACCACACTCTTTCTATTTATATTCCTTGAGTAGCTGAGGTGACAAAAACACTACTGTGCCCAGCTTTTCATTCACTGAGCTTCCTGAAATAGCAGAGGTTACAGGAATGAGCTACCATACCCAGCCAGGCATTTTTAAACTTACTTCCTGTATATACATTTTTACAATTTCCTTGGATAATGGGTTTTAAAAGACTGTTTATAGTTCCTTGAGAAAAAAAATTTAAATGTAAAAATTACCCTTCAGCAACATTTCCTCAATAAGTGTGAAAAACTCCTTGGCCTCAGGATTTTCTGGTTCATAGATTAGGACTGAAAATGAACAACAGAATATGGGTTATTAATGCTCAAAGTATTGCTACAAACAGATTTTTTAGAATGAGATTGGAACTTTCAATCAGAGAAGGTACTGTCCAAAGCAAAAATAGTAACAATTATATCACAGGCATATCTAAGTGCATGTGGAGAAAATGTTCCATTTATATTTGGTGCTTCTCAAGAGAAATGACCTTAATTGCATCTTCTACCTTCTATCCAACAAATGCACTTTCTATTACTCCAGTATGCCTTCTTTCATAGGCCAGTAACCAAAGTGCTTCATGAAAATAATTATTCCCCAAAGACAGAACAGTAATGAGTAGACTGTACCTAGAGATTTGCTAATCCTTTCCTCCAGTGTCTTCATGACAGCCTTTACAAAGGTCTCAGCACAAAGGATGGAAATGTTCTTTCAAATAAGGGAATTTAGGGGCTGGGAAGGTGGCTCAGTGGTAGAGTGCTTGCCTTGAATGCCTGAGGCCCTGGGTTCGATTCCTCAGCACCACATAATCAGAAAAAAAGCTGGAAGTGGCACTGTGGCTCAAGCGGTGGAGCGCTAGCCTTGAGCGGAAGAGCTGAGGGACAGTGCCCAGGCCTAGAGTTCAGGCCCCACGACCGGACCCAAAAACAAATCAAATAAGGGAATTTGATATAATTTCTTTTCCCACTGAATTTTACCCTAATCTATGTTCCACAATCATTGTTTGCACAATGATGTTCTCCCCCTATTTACTGGACCATTATTTTTAGCAATATTCCCTTTTTCCTCCTCCCAAAAAACCTTTATGTGACCTCTATGTGTCATTTTTTCCTTGGAGCACATCAGTAGGCTTTTTGGTGTATTGCTAATGTCATTGAGTTTGGAGTTGCAAGCCTTCACTTCAGAGTTATCTAAGCTATTTTAAAATTTCATCCTATAAGTCACTTCTTCCTACTTGCCTTGAGGGCTATTCATAATTCCGCATGCCCAACTCCTGTGCAATATCTTGGTGGTCCCCAGGGGGCACTGAAACATTAAGTGTTCTATTCATTTGGCTGAAAGTAGGAGAGCACTGTAGGTAGTTCAAGGCCCAGAAGACCCGATCCACAGCTTTCTTCCGGACACATTAAACCAGAGACTATATCCTAATCCACCAACATAACAATTTATCATCAGTCTGGGTCAGCATGACTGCCTGTTCAGAAGCTGCTTTTAAGAATCCTATGTTTCTTTTTTTGTTTGTTTGTTGTTTTTGGAGTTTGACTTAAGGGCCTGGGTGCTGTCCCTGAGGTTCTTTTGGTCAAGGCTAGTGCTCTACCACTTGAGCCAAAGATCCACTTCTGGCTTTTTTTGTAGTTTAGTGGAGATAAGAGTCTCAGACTTTCTCCTTTGTTTCCCCTTAGGAGGAAGCAACAATACTTGATAAGAAATGTACTCATTACCTTGCCCATGTAATTGTAACCCCTCTGTACGGTATTTTCACACACACACACACACACACACACACACACACACACACACATACACACACACACACACACACACACACACACAGAGTCTCAGACTCTCCTACCAGGGCTGGCTTCAAACCAAGATACTCAGATCCCAGTCTCCTGAGTAGCTAGGATTATTACTATTATGAGCCACAGCAAGAATTCTAGGTATTTTTGAACCATTCCACACACATAAGTTTTCCTATTTTATTCTTGAGCTTGTACTGGGGCTTGAACTCAGGATTTCAAGCTTCACTTGATTTTTTCAGTCAAAGCTGGCACTCAACCATTTGAGCCACAGTTCCATTTCTAGCTATTTGTTTAACTTGACCGAATTGGAGACTGGACTGTAAATTGGAGATAGGAACCTCTCAGACTTTCTGCCCCACCTGGCTTTGGACCACAATCCTTAGATCTCAGCCTCCTGACTAGCTAGGATTACAGGTGTGAGCAACCAGTGCCTCATTTATCTATATCTATATCTATTATATACAAACACACACACATATAAACTTGAACTAATATATGGTCATTAGTCTATTTCTTTGAGGCTAAGTCTTTCTATAGAGCAGGGTTTCTAGTTGCTTCTTCAGATACTAGATTCTTAAGGTACTAGTTTCTTAAATACATATTCTTAACTAGTTTTTTTAAATATATATCTAAAAAACTAGGTTAAATGAAGTCAGGTAAAGTTTATACTAAGGAGTAGCCACAAGATTTTGTTTTGTTTTGTTTTTTTGTCATTGTGGGGCTTGAACTCTGGGCTTGAGCACTGTTCTTGACCTCTTCAGCACAAGGTAAGTGCTCTACCACTTGAGCCACAGTGCCACTTCCAGTTTTCTGGTGGTTTATTGGAAATAAGAGTCTCATAGACTTTCCTGCCTGGGCTGGCTTTGAACTGTGATCCTCAGATCTCAGCCTCCTAGGAGGATTACAGGCGTGAGTCTAGCTAAGATTACAGGCGTGAGCCACCAGCACCTGGCTTTAGCCCCAAGATTTTAATGAACTATCCATATGTTTGAAATTATTATGAACCTTACAGAGAGGAAAATGTGGCTTTCTGAACCTATTGAAAATGAAATCTTTTGGTGAAACACTTTCTAAGAAATCCTGAACCAGAAGATGGATGGTAGATTAGAAGCTTGTTCCCTAAGACTCCATGAATAAGAATAAGGGTCTGAGTTTAAGCCCCATGACTGACAAAAAAAAAAAAAATTAGGTCAATTAAGCTAGGAGCTGGTGGCTCATGCCTGTAATCCTAGTTACTCAGGAAGTTGAGTTTTGAGGATCATGGTTAGAAGCCACCCTATGCAGACAAATTCAAGAGACAGTTATTTCGAATTAGCCAGCAGTGCCAAAAGTAGAGATGTGGCTCAAGTGGTAGAGCACCAGCCTTGAACTTTGAAAAAGCTAAAGGAGAGGGCTGGGAAGGTGGCTCAGTGGTAGAGCACTTGCCTTGCATGCTTGAGGCCCTGGGTTCAATTCCTCAGCACCACATAAGCAAAAAGAAAAAAGCTGGAAGTGGCGCTGTGGCTCAAGTGGTAGAGTGCTAGCCTTGAGCTGAAGAGCTGAGGGACAGCGCCCAGGCCCAGAGTTCAGGCCCCATGACCAGACCCCCCCCCCCCCCCAAAAAAAGAAAAAGTTAAAGGAGAGTATGAGGCCCTGAGTTCAAGCCCAAGTGTGTGTGTGTGTGTGTGTGTGTGTGTGTGTGTGTGTGTGTGTGTGTGTGTGTGTGTGTGTGTGTGTGTGTGTGTGTGTGTGCGCGCGTGTGTGTATGAATATGTTGTTGTGCCTTGCTGAAGGTTGTATTTCTAAGGTCTACACCAGTGCCTGGGACATGCAGATTCAGACATTTGTGGAACAAATGCATGTTAAGTATAATTATTGCACCAGTCATCTTTGGGAGCAAAAAGGCTGACTTGTTGTCTAGTGATGATTAGTCTGTGTTGGCCTACGTTACTTTTATTTCATGTAAAGATACTCTAGAAGTCTAAAATATTCCTTCTATTAGCCAATCTCATTTACCACCAAGGAATCACCAAGACATCAACAGGAAATTCCCTAGATTAGGATAATTGAGCCATCTTACGTATTATAGAATTAGAAACAAAAGGAAGATTGGAAAAAATGTAAAAGTACTTTATACTTACTCATCTGACATAATTTTTTTGCTAGATGGTAGTCACGGCTCATTTCTGCTCTCAGGAACTGGAAAACATTAAGTTCTTTAGATAAGTAGTTTCTGAGAGAATTTAAACTATTAAAACTACTCCCTAGAAAATATTCCATTAATGATTATTTTATTCTAATCCTGATATGTTTTTCCGCAGTGAATCTGCAATCAATCAATCAGCGAAGGATATTTAAGGACCTTGTGACAGCAAGGCAATATGGTGTGTACACTCACTCCTGAACTTGCATGAGTGCCGACATTAACCACATTAGTTGAATGTTCCTGGTTCAGGTACAGGTTTCTTTTTGTTGGATGACATGACAGTCTTTAGTTGAAAAAAATAATTGTGAGCTAGTGTGGTGGTACACACCTGTAATTCTAATATTCCAAAGACTGAGACGAGAATTGTGAGCTCAAGGTTGGCCTGGGTTATGTGGAAAGACCAGGTGTAAACCACCCCCCCCCCCCCACAAAAACAATTGTAATTGCATATATTCAATACTTCCCAGAACTGTTTCTGTTACCCAGTTTTGCTTATATAGCTTTTATTGTTTTTCTTATTACAAAATAACATATTTAATATAGGAAATTACAAAAGCTAAACAAACACATTATATCCTCAAAGTCCTGGGGCTTGAACTCAGGGTTTGGGTGCTGGTGCTCTATCACTTTGCCACAGCTCCACCTCTAGTTTTTTGGTGGTTGATTGAAGATAAGAATTTTATGAACTTTCCTGTCCAGGCTGGCTTCAAACAATAATCCTCAGATCTCAGCCCCCTTAGTAGCTAGAGATTATTGGTATGAAGTACTGGCACCTACCTTTGCAGTTATTTTTTAATGCCTAATTTCACTGGCCCATAATCAAAGAACATAACCAGTATAATATGGGGCTGTTTCCATTTTAAAAATCTTATATACCATTTGACTTTCTACACTTAAATTCCTTCAACTTTCTATGATTCTGTTCATGTATCTTCCTCTAAAAATCCTTCTCTTATTCCTTGTTCCTTCTATTTGTTTCCTTAGTCACTTAAATCTCTGTTTCTAGAGTAACACAAATACTATAACTAGCCTGCATTTCATTTTATTGTAATTACTGATGTGTCTCTTCTCAAGGATAGAACGTGTCTTTTATTGATCTTTCTATTGGCAGCAACTCACACAGGTCCAATGAGCAGAAAGTATTTCTTAGAGTGGTCCCCAAAGTCTCACACTGGTCTTGGCCTCACAGGATTATGCTATGTCATTTCAGGGTCTTGTCTCACTTCTAACCAGGTGAAAATAGTGAGAGAGATGACTAAACCAGAAGGCATCTGCCAGGCGCCGGTGGCTCACGCCTGTAATCCTAGCTACTCAGGAGGCTGAGATATGAGGATCACGGTTCAAAGTCAGCCTGGGCAGGAAAGTCCATGAGACTCTTATCTTCAATGAACCACCAGAAAACCAGAAGTGGCACTGTGGCTTAAGTGGCAGAGCACTAGCCTTGAGCTGAAGAGCTTAGGGACAGCACCCAGGCCCAGAGTTCAAGCCCCACAACTGACCAAAATTTAAAAAAAAAAGAAGAAGGCGTCTCTATACAGGCAGGGATCTTCCCAATTTTAGAATCCTTTGTTGCTTTTGTTTGGCTAACATCAGTAGCACAAGGAGGCTTTCTTCATTCTATAGATGTGCATAGTATACTCTGAACTATGTTGCCTTAGTCTTCCTTGCCCTTTCTGTAACTTGAAATCTCTAATGAATATATACTAATTTATTTAATCTACATAAGAAAAGGCTATCTACTATTTAGTAATTTCAAGTTTCTAACTTTCCGCAGACCTAATGTATGAGTAGAACTTACTTCTGCCATTAACTCCAGTGGGGCCTGAGTAGCACTGGGAGGATGCCCATGTTCATCGTCTTCTCCACTGGTGTCTTCTTCACCATCACCTGTTGATTCTGAGGACTCATCATCAATATACTGAAGGCAACAGTCATTCTTTTTCTCTGGCTTTGCACTGCCTATATCTTTGCTCCTTTCACCTACAACAGAAATATACATGCAGAATTCTGAATATAAATCTTTCCAGATCCTATTAGCACCTGTAAAATGGAAGACAATGAACAAATCCAGGAGAGTACTAGAGAAAAGACAAGTTATAATCATGTACACCCACACACACCACACACACACACACACACACACACACACACACACACACACAGATGAAACTCCTAGCTCTTCTCTGGAGGGAGATTCAGAACCCTCCCAAGAGTGTGCTGGCTGAGGTTGGAAGACACCCACATACATGCTCTTCTGAGTCATTTAATTTCTCCATGGAATCACAACAATCTTATCTTCTAGAGTGTATGCAGTCTGTGTACCAGTTCACCACACTGCTATCTTGAGGAGAAGGTCATAATTAGGGATTAAAGAACCCTGTGATGTCACAGGATTGTCTCATTCACTCACAAATAGCATTGTGGAGAAATTTCCTGACCCCTAAATGGAATGTAGCCCTTCTCCAGGTATAATTTGTTTGAATGTAGCACTCCACACAACCTCAGATTATCCTGTGTACTTCTGTTTATGATGGCAATGATGGTGATGATGATGATGGTGATGATAATGTTTGTTATTTTCTTCTTTTGCTAAGTACTAGGGCTTGAACTCAAAGCTTGTTTGTTCAGCTTTCTTGCTCATAGCTGGTGCTCTACCAACTGATCCATATCTCCAATCCAGCTTTTTTTCTGGTTAATTAGAGATGAGGCTCTTAGATCTGTCTTTTGCGCTGACTTTAAACACTAATCTTCAGATCTCAGCCTTCTTAGTAGTTAGGATAATAGGCTCATGCCACTGGTGCCTGGCTTTTTTTTTTTTAAGTTTATTTTAAAATTGATATGTAATTATATATTTATGGTATGCTATGTGATGTTTTAATAAATGTGTGCATGGTTTAATGCTTAAAACAAGTAAAACATATTTACTCAATTATTTATTTTATTTTTTTGTTTGTTTGTATTTGGTTCTAGGTTTGAACTCAAGGCCTGGGGTACTATCCCTGAGTTTTGTGCTCAAGGCTAACACTCTACCACTTGAGCCACAGCTCCATTTTCAGCTTTTTGGCAGTTAGTTGGAGATAAGAGTCTCGCAGACTTTCCTGCTCAGGCTGGCTTTGAATTGTGATCCTCAGATCTGAGCCTCCTGAGTAGCTAGGGTTACAGGCGTGAGCCACTGGCGCCTCGCAATCATTTATCATTTCATGATGATGAAAACAAACTTTATTCTAACTTTTTGAAATATGTAGTACATTACTGATATCTATGATTTCTCTACTGTACAATAGCATACCAGAACTTGTTTTTCCCCTTATATACATAGTTTATTGAATATGAGCACCTGAATACATCTGACATGGTAATGAAAAAATGTGTACTGGATATGGATACTAAATTATTCGTTCTTTTTCCTCTTTTACAATAGTAAAATAGCCACTTCTCTTATTTGTTCATTCAAATTTGTGTTTAATTTCTATTTACATTCATTCAATCTGAAATCAAATTCTTCAGACAGAAAACTACACATAAGATGAAAAGCAGAAAAGGTGTTACCTCACAGCACTAATAAGGTAGTTGAAGAATCTATTTAATAGATGAAAAGCCAACTTGAAATAGGAGAAACACAACAGTTTAAAGAGGAAACACAGATGAGATGGTACTCAAAAGTAATATCCACTGAGATAGTAATTGTCATCTTAAGAACTCACACAAGGAAAGCACCGTATCAATCGGCAACGATCGCAGATCATGTGCTTCTTATTCATGTCTATAACTTGCTATCCATCTCTCCTTTTTCTCTTACCTGCCCCAGTCTCTGCCATTTACAACTTTCAACTTTTGTGAGATCTGCATTTTGATCCCACATGCAAATGAGATCATGTGGTACTGATCTTATGCCTGTCTTATTGCACTTAATATGAAGATCTCTAGTTCCATCTGTGCTGCTGCAAATGACAAGATTTTTATCATTTAAAGGCTGAATTTACATTGTGTAAATACGCCACAATTTCTATGTCTGTTCATAGAAAATTTTGCATTATTTTTAATAGCTGACTATTTCCACTAGACTGTGAACTTCATGACGGTAAGGATTTTTTTTTCCAATGATTAAATCCACAGCTTCCAAACCACTCTGGCTTTCAACCATTGCTGAGTGGATAGAATTTGTTAATACTTACACAGATACTTCAATACATTGTAGGATTTAATGTCCTATAATTATCATCTTATATAACCTGTACTGGCTTCTGAATTACCTGGCTTCCTCTCACAATCACCCATTATGTAAATGTGAAAAATGACTAGTTCTCATGACCCACTCCCCTCACACCTATGAACGGTCAGTCCCAAAGGTCATGTAACACAGGGCTGGGGTAGAAGATACAACTACACAGTACAATACTTATAACTGATTACCTGTATTTTCTTTTAAGAAAGAAGATGACTGCTGATTTGGTAACGTGTCTTTATGTTCAGTGCTTTTTGGAGATGTTTTCTTGTCAGTATTCTTTAAAGAGACTGGCTTTTCAATTTTCTTTGGAGAAACTTCCTTCCTAAATGTTAAAGTAGATGGTGAAAAGCTTTTCATTTATATATACATACAAGATAATATACTACCAATAATGTAAACACCTAAAATGGAAATAATTAAAATTTCATTTCTGCCTGACATTTGTTATTGTATAACAATTCCTAGGATCTTTTCAGAGTTAACATGGACCATATAAAAATCAGTGATACAGATGTTATTGTACATTACTGTGATAATGGTGGCATGAAAATACTGAAGGAAATCAGAGAGAAAGAGAGAAAGAGAGAGAGAGAGGAAAAAACGACCGAGAAGTCACTGAAATTTTTCTGGTACAGCAAGATTACTGTCTCTAAAAGTTACTATGCTCTATTATCTAAGTCAAACAGAAGAGATCATTCCTTTATTTTTTTCCTGAATTAAAATATTTCAGTGAGTCTAAGATACCATCTATTTATTATAAGACAGCATTGTTTTTTGCCAAATACAAGTGTAAAATGACATAAACCATCTGGGTATGATAACATACATTTCTAATCCCAGGACTCAGAAGCTGAGTATAAGGACCACAAGGTCACGATCAGAATGGGCTACATAGTGAGACCCTATCTAAAAAACAATATGTATATACATTATATATACATACATACTTTATGAATCTATGAAATATGACACAGAGCATTAGTGACTCACTCCTGTAATCATAGCTACTTGGGAGCTGAGAGTGGGAGCATCAAGGTTCAAGGCAGAAAAGTTCACTGGACTCCTTCTCAATCCAAAGGCAGATGAAATGGTATGCCTTTGATCCCAAGCTGTATAGGATGCTGAGCTCCAAGGATTCTCTTTCCAGGGAGGGAAGCTGAACTCAGCGTGTGCCTGGGATCCCAGCAATGTAGGGAAGCTTAAAAGTAGGTGGATCAGTAAGCTCAAGTGTGTGCCCAGGCAGGAAGCAAAACTCCATCCTAAGAATAACCAGTGGAAAACAGAGCTGGAAGCATGGCTCAAGGCACATAGCACCAGCCAAGCAATTGTGAGGCCCTGTGTTCATACCCCAGTACTATAAAAAATAAAAAGAAATATGATACTTATATATTCACTTAGCTATATCCATAACTAAAGCCTAATATGATTTTCACAGTAAAGCATAAACTTATTTTCTTTATACTTCCTATAGTCTTTCTCATACAGGTTCAAAGAATCAGAGTCTGGAAGTTCAACCTTCATTTCAACTAAAATCTACTGACTTCCGTTTGAGAACATGATTTATTTATGGGAATGAGGGCTCTAATCATTTAAGAAAACAGATGACTAAAATATTCAAAAAGAACAGTTTACATTAACTTAAATACAATTATAGCTGAGGAGTCAAACTTTTTACTTTTGGTAATAGCATCCTTTGGAACTGGGAGGTAGTTATTACTTATTAAAGCTACAAAGTTACTCAGGCTAGATATTCTGCTAGAGCTCACCATTAGAGAGCCTAGATTTTCAAGATTTTTTTCACTGTATAAAAGAAAATTGGGCATATTTAGAAAATGTCTCAAACTCCATTGGAATTAATATATTTTTTCAGAATATGTATACTTTGAGCTTTGTCTTATATAATTTATATCAGGCTGCAAAATTACTTAAAACTTACTTTTCTGAGGCCGTCTTGGTTACACTTAGAGAACCCTGTGGTGGAGTATGAAGTTTTCTTGCCAATCTTGGTCTATGTCCAAAGGAGCATTTACTAAAAGTGTAAAAATGAGAATTAAAAAGATAACTGGTCAGTCATTTTAGAGATTATAAAACATGATTACGTAACAAACAGAACCTACAGATAGAAATGTTCGATTTGACCCAAGAATCGGGGGTTGTGGATTTGCTTCAGCCACTCTTTCTGTGGCTGGCACTGGGTGAGGAATCCAACGTACAAGGCAAAGAACTGGGAGACAGAGAGCCAGTTCTGCATGCCTCAACCTAGACAGGACCTTTTGACAAACAAATCATACCTGCTAGTTAGCTGATAGAGACAACAGCTGGTGGCAAGGGGAATGGAACCCACACTGAGAAAAAAACACTATCTTTGAAGATCAGCCACACTTCCCTGAGCAAAGGACCCCTCATCGGTTTTCTATTTTACTTCTATTCCTCCCTCCTTCCCCAAAGGCTACTATTGTTTACCTTCAACTCTGGATGAACCACCTGAGTCAGCCAAGCAACCTGAGAGGCTGAGCTGTGTGAAGCTCATATGTGTGAAGGTCACCAGCATCCCTGCACTTTTCCCAGTGAATTCAAGGGAACATGGGCATTTTAATTGTCCTTGGGGGGGTAGTTTGATAGTCTGGAGCAAGTCATTTCTCTATTTGTCTAACTTGACCCAGGCTTCATTGCTTTATTTCTGGGCTTTATCTACCAAGAACGATCCTTCCAGTTCTATCCCTACTGATTACAGTCTTTGAGGGGGGAGAAGGTTCCCAGACACAATAGCAACTTACTTCTGCATCAATGTTCTGTTAGCTTCAATTGTTACTCCTTAAAATCATATCTCCAGTTTTACTCAAGGATGACTATATATTTCATAGATCTAAGTAAATTATGTTTCCAAGTACATGTATTAGAATATATATAATAATGTATAGATTAATATACTTAACAGAACTTTTTTCCTGGTTGGTTATAACTATAAATTGAAATGAATATAAATTCTCTATCTTTGATCTACATATTACTTTCTTTTTAATAGAAAAATATATTTATTATATATTATATGATATATATTAATATCACATAAAATTTATCATCAAAGACAAGGTAATTTTTTAGCTACTACAGTATGAAATTTAAATTGTTATATAGTTTTTTTAGTCAGTAATATTCAGACTATTCAGAATAAACAAAAAGCAATGTTTTTTATTTATGTATTTTTTACTTAGTACCCAGAGCTTCACCCAGGCTAGGAAAATTGTCCATCACTGAGCTACATCTCTATTCCTCAAAGCTACACTTTCAACCTCAAGAACTGAACTTGAAAAGAAAATCTGGTGCCAATATTTTCCAAATAATTTTTATGAATGTATTTTGTAATAAAATTTTAAACTGTTAATTTTCATAGAAGTTTTTTTTCCCCCAAAGTAGGACATGATCATATTAGGAAGTCCATATTAATTAGTCCTTAGAATCCATTTCCATCTGAGCTGCTACCTGATAATTTGGTATTAAATCGGTATTATATTGTGATTTTGATACTGGTTTCTTCAATTGAGGTGAATTCTTCCTTGCTTCCTTCTTTTATTTTTGAGACAGAGTCTTGCCGGTATAGCCCAGATTGGCCTCAAACTTGGAATCCTCTTTCTTTTCTTTGGCCGGTCGTGGGGTTTGAACTCTGGGCCTGCGTGCTGTCCCTTAGCTCTTCAGCTCAAGACTAACACTCTACCACTTGAGTCACAGTGCCACTTCTGGTTTTCTGGTGGTTTATTGGAAATAAGAGTCTCACGGACCTTCCTGCCCAGGATGGCTTTGAACCATGATCCTCAGATCTCAGCCTTCTGAGTAACTAGGATTACAGGTGTGAGCCACTGGTACCCAGCTGCAATTCTCTTGACTCAGCCTTCTCAGTTCTGGGACTACAGGTGTCACTATGTCTGGCTGAATTTTGTTTTTAAATTATTGGCAACAATACATGTTATAGTGAATTAAAATGCTTATTTTAAAGTAATTATTCACTTACAGAGATATTCAAAAATGAGTAAGCAAGTATCAAAGGGAATAGGAATGACCAATGAAAATATACAAATAAATTACAAACATTAAAACATGGAAATGAATTTTAGTTATACTACTATATTTTTATCAAAATTCATTTTTCATTTAAATATCCTTCTATTTAAGTAACAATTGCTTTGAAGGAAGCAACGCTAAACTGCTAGTCCATGCACTTCTGGCTTTTCAAATTTAATTGGGTGACAAATGATTGCATTATCTACTTCTAATTGCTTAAAAGGCATGTGATAGATCTGCTGCACAGACAAAGACATCTTCTTACTTTGACATTGCTTCATTTAAGTATCCCTTATTCTGAAAGAGAAGAAAAAAAATTCAGTTTTTATTTCAACAAGAAAATGTGGTATATATATATATATATATATATGTTTGTGTGTGTGTGTGTGTGCCACTATATATATACATATATGTGTGTGTGTGTATATATGTGTGTATATATATATATATATATATATATATATATATAGTGGTATTCTATGGCCTCCATCAGAAAGAATGACATTGTCCCATTTGTTAGGAAATGGAAAGACTTGGAAAAATTATATTAAGTAAAGTAAGCCAGGCGCAAAGAAATACAGGTCCCATGGTTTCCCTTATTTGCAATAACCAGTACATGTGTAGGACAAGCAGAAAAGGCCAAAAGCTATATACATATGACCATATAAAATGATGTTAAGCGAAATGAATCCCAAGATAGGTACACAAATATCTTTTTCCTTACTTGCTATTGTTTCTAACATATTTATAATGCACCATGTGATTTTGTTGTTTCTTTGTATGTTCCTCCCTCATGGTATAACCCTTATTTGATGTCGGTGCCCTGAATCTTGTATATACACTTCTCAAATTTGGGGAGGGAAAGGGAAAAAACAAAATGCTTAAATAAGGATACAGGTTGACCCATTGTAACAATGAGATGTACAAAACACTATGTTGAAAACCAACTTTACAACTTCGGTGGTGGTAGTGAGGGTAGTTGTGGAAGTAGGAGGGAAGGGATGGTAGGGGGAAAACAAAGGAGGAGGCAACAATGCTCAATTGGAAATGTACTCATTACCTTGCTCATGTAACTGTAACCCCTCTGTACCGCATTTTTACAATAAAAATGTACAAAAAAAGAAATATAGGTCCATGGTTTCTCTCATTTGCAATAACTGGTAAAAACAAAAACATAAATTTCTAATTGGAAAAGGTTTCTTTGATTTTTTGAGAGACAATATAATAAAGGATTTAACTGTTAAGTCATACAATCACATTTAGCCATTCCAATATTCTTGATTAATATTTGGGACAAGATCATAGTCAAACACTGTGTAAGAAACTATTAATGCCTTGGATCAAATACTAGTAATCTGCCATTCTGTCTGGTTTTTAGGTGCCTAAAATAGAAGCAAGACACTAGTATTATTGTCATTTTACTTTAAGGTGTTTGAAATAATCCATTAAGGATTTTATGTAGTCATTATCTAGGCTAACATGTAATTTATAATTAAAATCAATTATTTAAAAATCCTATGCATTGGCGATAAATAGAACCAAAACAAATAGAACCAATATGCTGTGTAAATCAAATTTAGCTGACATTCCAGTTGACATTTTAGTTTGTGTCAGGAAAAACATCATCGAGAATATATGTGAGCCAGGGGAAGAGAAAAGTTTTCTATAATATTTCAAGATATGGTATTTAAATAAAGTATTATTAAAAGAATTTATATTTATACCAGTTGACTCCTGACTTTATCCAAAGATACTTTAAAATACAATTTTATTCCATAAATTCCCTCATGTATTTATGAAGACTTGAAAGTTACTATGTTTTCTCTATGAATTTTTGCTTTTCTAAGTTACCCAATTATAGGAATTATTTTCCTATAACTTTGCCCTTTTATATCTGGATAAATTTCATTTGTAAAGAGAAAAACAAACACTTAAGGTCTTTTTCAAATATGGAAAAGATCACATTTCCAAGAAACAATCTAATTGTTCCTCTCTCTAAAACTTGCTCCATTATCTCATACCAGACTTTAAATACTGATATTATTATATATCTAGGTGTTCTGGAATACAAAATTCAGGGCCCAAACTGTGGACTATAAATGCGAAGCTTCATTCATTTGTTTCTGTGTTTAAATCTGTCTCCCTCCCACTTATCTGTACCCTCAAATACCGCAGAAGTACATAAAGTTTTGCCTTAGGCTTAGAATTCTGAGGAACCCTGACCAAACCAGGTGTTGAATGTGTCATTAATTTGAATTTCTCACTGAGATTTGATGGACTCCTAGAAAAACAAGGTGTCTTTTGGAGGAAACCAGTTGTTGAAAATCAAACTCTAGTATAAATGAGCTATTTTGCAATGAGCTACTTTCATTCTCTAGGAAAAAACAATACGTAATCAACTATAAAGGCCCTACCAAACCATCTAAGATGACCTTTCTTGAGAGATACTTTTGCTCCACAGCTTTATATAACACTGGTTCTGGCAGGACACATAGAGAGCATCACCTTCATATTTAGTGTTCTCCTTCTAGTTATAGGATCTTCATGGATTGTAACATTCTACTCTTACCTAGACAAAACAGCAATGACTAATTCTTTCCTGTTATCACCTGGTGAAAGAAGCATAGATGAATGCAGCCAAGCCCCTGATTAGGACCCAGGCTCTGTTTAGTCTAGCTTTATTATTATACAGGAGATGTCCACGTCACCTGCCCTCCTAAAACCAAATTCCTCTGAAGGCAGTATAGAATAATACTCTTGTTGAAAAAGATTGGATTCATTACCAGTTTGGCCAGCCACAGGTAAGTTTTGGAAAGTTAATGAATTTCTTTAAGCTTCAGTTCTTTTATTTGAAAAATGAGGATCACAATGGGGCCAACTTTGCCAGGTTCAAGGGGTAACTTGGTTCAGTGTCTAGCTAGGAAGGACACTATAGAAACAACGTGGTTTGCTTCTCCAAAGGAAAAGCTGAGAAGATTCCTTATGGGACTGATTAAGATTGCTAAGGGTAACAAAAAGGAGCTTTTACTGTGATTGAAACAGGCCTATCAGCTCCAAGGCTTTAAATTAATTTATTTAAAAAGTCAATAAGCCCTAAAAGCACTCATACTTGTTTAGAAAGACCACTGACTCCAAGGGAAAAAGTAATTAATTTAGGACACAGGTCAAAATTAAAACAGCAACCAATAAGCTGCACAGATGAATAGTTGTTATAAAGGTAATATGCATTTTAAAAATAATTATTATTATGCAGAAAATATCTGAAAGGAGCTCCTTTCAGAAAAAGGAATTGATAATACTCATTGGCACTGGGCAGATAAAGGGATGGCTGCAGGATTCAGGTAGAGGAGGGTTTTTTTTTTTTGGGGGGGGGGCGGGTCCGGTCGTGGGGCCTGAACTCTGGGCCTGGGAACTGTCTCTCAGCTCTTCAGCTCAAGGCTAGTGCTCTACTACTTGAGCCACAGTGCCACTTCCAGCTTTTTTTTTTTCTTTTTGCTTATGTGGTGCTGAGGAATCGAACCCAGGGCCTCAGGCATGCAACGCAAGCGCTCTACCACTGAGCCACCTTCCCAGCCCCTAGAGGAGGGTTTTTTTGTTGTTGTTTTGTTTTACTTTATATTGAAGAGTTAAAAATTAGGAACCTCACTTCACCATTACCATTATTAACTTGCTAACTGCTGACTTTGCTTCTATAAATATGCTTGCATTCAGACCCCCTTTGGCCTGGGAGATAAAATTGGCAGTAACTCAAGTATTGGCCGGCCCAGATGTCCGGATATCAGCCCACCCAGGACAAGGACAGCGGTTATAGATAGTACATGTTTTTCAGTTCCAGATTAATTAAGCAATCCCTGGGACAAACCTTGACAACGACCACCTTGCAAGACCACAAGCTGAGCCAAGTGTCAGCCAATCATAGGCCTGTAACCATGTAAACCCCCCCTTAAACCAACCATGGGCCAGTTATTTTACAAAGAGTGTTACAAAATTTCCCGCGTGGCAAAGTGATTATTGGTGTATATGATGACCTTTAAATGGACCAATCATGGGATGCTTTGTGTTATGCATTAATCTTGTGGTTTTTGCCTTTAAAAAGGCTTGTAACCGCTGCTCGGGGCTCCCTGTCTGCTCAGGACAGAGAGTCCGTTTGTGCAAACGTCAAATAAACTCCTCTTGCTTATTGCATCTCCCGGCCTGGAGTCTGAGTTTTCTGGGGCGCCCTCCCGTTGACGAAAGTATCCTAGGGGACTAGGGTCTTTCAATATCTGTGCCTCCTCATCATGAATGTATTTTAAATAAAGACAATTTAAAATTTGCAGTTTCATTTTTACCTCTGTATTTGTCCATCTTTTACAGCAGTATGTTGGCTGGTGCTAAATTGTCTTCACTCACTGGTATCTGCTCAAATTAAGTAGTTTATATGGTGTGGGAATAAAAAGACAGTCTCGAGTTTTCATATAATATTCCATATCTATTTCAAATGAATATTTAAGTTAGAGTTATAGTTCTATGGTGGTGTGTTTAGCATCTGTGAAGTCTTGGATTCAATTCCAGTCCCAAATACAAAAAGATTTGATGAGTACCTACTACATATCAGATTGTCTTTGTTAAACTCTGGAGGTACAAAGATGATGATTTCCTGCTTCAAGAAGCTCAGGATCTTATAAGGAAAACAAGTTCTAACTTCCTATACATATGGTACAGACCAAGCTTCAAAGTACTATATTTTAAGGCACTAACAGTATAATTGGCCATTCTATCATTTTGATGAGTACCCATATCCATCAAATTATTCCTTTTGGAGGCAGAATTGGAAAGTCAGATGAAGAGAGGGTTCAATCAACAGGTCTGTCCCAGTTTTCAGTTGTAGAATCCATCTCTGAAGCCTGTTCTCTGGGTTTTTTAATTTCCCACCTCTGGATTTGTAGACAAAATCCAGCCTACCTAGCTACAAAGGTAGTACTGTCCCCAAAGCAGAGCAGTCATGGTAATTCTTAAGCTAACACAGCAACAGGTCCAACCAGTGCATCTGTATTTCAAGTTAAGTTAATCCCCTTTTCTCTAAGACCTTTTCAAATGGCATTGTCATAAACTTGGGAAAATGTAACTCTAAACTTTTCAGCAGACATGGTTCTGGCGTCAAGAAAAAAATAGCCCCATAAAAGAAGCAGAACACATAAAAAACTAGATGAAGAAATGGAGGGGAAGGAAAAAAAGAACAGAGAGAGACAGAGAGAGAAAAATGAGGAGAGAGAATGAGATACACACATATACATCCATAATGATGGCCATGTCCCTGTTCTCCTGCAGAGTCTTTGTCTTACCATGTACCAATTAATTTATGTCTCTCTTTTTTACTGAGATAAGCTGTTTGTTTTTATCATTCAAAACCAAAGCAGACATTGACTAATATGGATCCTTCTTCTTGAAACCCAAAATAGCTAACATACCTGACAGCATGTAGTAAGAGCCATATTACTACAGTTAATATAGCCCATGGGTCCACCGCAAGAAGGGTTAACTCTATCTTCTTTGATAGACTAAATTACAAGAAGCACAGTCACATTTTGGAATGTCATAAGATTTGACAGTCCAATCTTTCTTCAGAACTAAGATTGAGTCAAATTCACTGTGACAGTGACTCGAAATTGAGATCATGCAGAATAGTTGGCTGTGTACTAGATAATGGTAATATGGCAAGTTGGAAAGGTACGTGGGAACAACTTTTATAAAAGACATTAATTGCCAATTAATGTATGAGAGAACAACATAAAAGTCATTAATTGCCTATTAATGTATGTGGGAACAACTTATAAAAAAAGTCATGAATTGCCAAATGCTAATGATTTAGGGATTTAATAAGATATCAATGTAAATCTAAACAACCTTTGAAGGAAGATTAAATCTATTAGAAAAGAAATTTGTTAGATGGTAAAGCTGAGAGAGAACAGAGGCAGAAAGGCTAGTTAGCTGAGATATTACTGTAATAGTCTGGTGCCAGGGTTGACAAACCAGAGCCCACAACCATGTGTGACTCATTATCTGGTGTGTGTGTGTGTGTGTATATGTGTGTGTGTGCCCGTGTGCGTGCGTGCGTGCGTGTGTGTGTGTGTGTGTGTGTGTGTGTCTTGGGGCTTCTTACGGCTAGCAATCTACCACTTGAGCCACAGTTCTACTTCCAGCTGTTTTTTGTTTTTGTTTTTGGTAGTTAATTGGATATAAGAGTTACAGACTTTCCTGCCGGTGCTAGCTTTACACCATGATCTCAGCCTCCTAAGTAACTTTGATTATAGGCATGAGCCTCTGGTGCCCCGCAAACTATTTTTATAAATGAAATATTACCAGAATGCAGATAAACTTGCTAATTTCAGTATAACTTCAAAAGTATAATGGCAAAATTTAGTAGTTTCAGCAAAGACTGTGTGGGCCCATGAAGCCTAAAATATTTAGTATCGGCCTTTTATAGAAAAAAAATTTCCCAACTTGTAGTCTAGGGAAAATGTGATGATGTAGAAAGTGAGAAGGTACACTTGGAAGAAAAATGAGGGCCAAATGCAGAGCTGCTAAACATGAAAGGAAAGAGCTTGGAGGAGGATGATGAAGGCATCAAGAGAAGAGCACAGCCTGGGAGAAAAGCGTTTGCTTAGAACTTCTGAGTTAGTGTCAACCATTTTCTGTTATATGAAAAAAGAATCTAGAACTTAAGAGAAGAACTGATGTATAAGTCCCAAGGTAGAATCCTGGGAAATGATACCCAAAAAGCAGGTGGGAAAAAAGTATCAGGCAAGACACTGCTCATAGCAGTACTAGACAGGTAGCAAGTGCTAGAATGACCACAATCATGATGATGAAAGTTTCTTGAGAGCAGAAATTGGATCTCACATTCATGTGGGTGGGTCCTAAACCAGTTTAAAGACACTCAGATACAAGATGAATAAAACCATTCAAATGACATAAAGTAATTTGATTGCCCTAGAGTGCTCTTATAGTTAAAAAAGAAAAGAATTCTCGGCACCTGTGGCTCATGCCTGTAATCCTAGCTACTGGGGAGGCTGAGATCCGAGGATCACAGTTCAAAACTAGCCCAGGCAGGAAAGTCTGTGAGACTCTTATTTCCAATGAACCACCAGAAAACCAGAAGTGGCGCTGTGGCTCAATGGGAGAGGGCTTGCCTTGAGCTGAAGAGCTGAGGGACAGCATCCAGGCCTAGAGTTCAAACCCCACCACTGACAAAAAAAAAAGAAAAAGAAAAAAATTGGAGTGAAAAAGAGTTGGTGAAAAGCAGATTAATTTGTATGAGAATGCAGAAAGATAGTATGAATCAGGAGATAAATATATCTGATTTAAGAAGGATATAAAGTGCACATGGCAATATTACGTATAAAAGCAGAAATTGTGACTATGTGTTCTTGAAAATATTCAGTGTGCTATATGTGAAATATATCTTGGGGTCAAAGTACAGGTGAGTAGAGGTTATCGTGCGCTTGTAAGAATAAGGTCTTGCTTTCTAGTCTTCTTGATTAATTAGACTGGGCTCTTGTTTGTAAGTTCTGAAACCACACTCAAGTTAGCTTATATAAAAAAGGAGAGAACTGGCTGACAGAAACCAAGAGAGTTGAACATCAAGCTGTGTGAGGGAGGGATGGGGCACAGCTGTGTTTAAGGATGCTCCCAGCTCCTCTCAGCCACTCTCTGCACATGGGCCTCATTCTTCTCCCTTGCTACAGACAGATTTCCCATGCATGGTGCAAAATATGGCTCCCAGAAATTCTTGATTTGTATGTGGTATAGTTCTAGACTTTAAGGAAAATATGGACTCTTTCTTAACGATCAAAACCCAGATCAAGAACTTAATTAGTTCATTGAACTTTTTTTGTTGTTGTCTCTTTTCTGGTGGTACAAACAAACAAACAAACAAGCCATTTTAAGAAAAATAGAATCACACGTGGTTCCAAGGTCACACATGCTTCCCAGGTCATGCATACCTGGGAAACAGGATGCAAGACCTTGAATTTGAGACCAGGAAGGAAGGAGGCAAGGAAGGAAGGAAAGAAGGAAATGGAAGTCTTCTAAAAATCCAAATATAGGATTGCCACAATTTCAGTCATTCATGTATTGTCTGGCTTCCTTACTAATTATCTCCATAAGCCTTTGTATTACCCACCTCAGTGCCTAGGGTACCCATAACTTGCTGCTTAATAAGTAGGTGTTGGATGCATAGAACTAGAAGGAAGGAAACAAAAGAATGTATAAATTAGAGCTCTGCTGTTTAGTATGGTAACCACTGGCCATATGGCCATTGAGCACTTCAAAAGTGTTAACTCTAATTAAGATAGAGTATCCACCTTGATTTTAAAGACGTAATACCGCCACAAGGATGTAAAACATTTCATATGCCCACTTTTCTAGTTATTCATTCAGTAACCAGTAGTCAATAATTAATTCATAAACTGACTTACCAACACTTAAATTTTAGCTTCCCCCCAAATCCTTATTTTAATTTTCTCTTGTAATTGTGGAAGATGTGACATTTTTCCTTGTCCTTTTAAAATTATTTTATCCTTTTGTACTCTGTTTTTTTAATCTTATGTTTCTGTTGTCAATGAATAAATGGACAGCTACATGTTCCGGGTTTGCAACTGTGGTAAGAAGGAGATGGAGCTAATTAACCACATTTCTTATCCTGAAGGAGCTTAGTGGGGAAACAGCTTGATGTAGGCACAATATTTTATTGGTTAACTTCAAGTATATACAGAAAGGTTTCAATATCAGCTGTCACTTACATTTATATCACAAGTGACTAAATACAAGTTTTTTGTATTTCCTCTTTCGCAGTATACTATAGTGCTAGAGCCCAGACTCTGGAGTCAGATTACCTATTTTCAAATCTCAGTAGATTGTGTAATGTTGAGCCATTTCTTTAATGTCTTTACAATTCAATTCCTCCATTGTAAAAGGAGGACTGAAAAGAACCAACTGCTTCATTGCATTTTGTGCCTGTTAAGATAATAGCTAATAATAAATAATAGCAAGTACTTACCTCCTGCTAGCATTATCATCACTATAACTCCTCCTCTTATCAGTATTACTTAGCCTAGCAATGGCAGCTCTGAAGGTGCAGGTCTCAGTGAGGCCAGTTCTAAGTACACACATGAGACTGCACAGGACAAAGCAAGGGATGAAACAGTTGAGTGTTGCTTAATTAGTGGGCATGGGTGGGAAGCTTCCCAGTTCTGCAGTGAGCACAGTGGATTTCTTACCAAGGTTTGGGATTTAGCATTGATGTGTGTGTGTGTTTGTGTGTGTGTGTGTGTGTGTGTGTGTGTGTATTGGTCCTGGAGCTTGAGCTCAAGGTCTCACACTCAGCTTGCTTGTTCAGGTGCTCTTCCACTTGAGCCACATCTCCAACTTCTCACTTTTTGCTGATTAACTGGAGATTCATGCTTCATAAATTTGTCTACCCTGGCTCCCTTTGAATGAGATTCTCAGATCTCGGCTTCGGCTTCGTGAGTAGCTAGGATTATAGGCGTTAGGGGATGGCTCCTAGCAAGCTCTGGTAAGCTCTGAACACTTAAAAAGGAATGCTGCTGGTTTTGTATCCTGGAAATTAAAAAAGTTGCAAGCAACTATATATATATGTGTGTGTGTGTGTGTGTGTGTGTGTATGTGATATTTTAACTTTTTTCCAGATTTATCATTAAAAAGCAACTTCCAGGAGCCCTCTGGGGGGGCGGGGATAAGAACAGCTTTAGCAAGTCATCTATGCCAACCGAGAACTTGATAATTATGCCACTTGATTTAAATGCTACAGTGGTGCAGTGTTAAGAGTGGTTTTGGTAGTCAAAACACTGCAGTGTCTTGCCAGGCATGGTGTCATATGCCTGTTAGTCCGAGGCTAGCCAAGGCGAATGCCAAGACCATATCTGAAAACAAACCAGAAGCAAAAACAGTCTGGGGTGCGTGGCTCAGGGAGTAGAAGGCGTGCAGGAGTTCCTGAGTTCAGTTCCCAGTACAAACAACAAAACCTACAGTAGCTTGACGGTGGAAGCCTCGGGCTGGACCCTGGAGGTGATAATTCGTCCAAACGGATGGCTTTACAGCTCCGGGAGGCCCAAACTCCACCGACCTTCAATTCTAGCCAGCCAGAGGGGACCCCTACAAGCCACCCATGTGTTTCCAGACTGGGGCAAGGGCGAGGAGCCCCGGGATGGAAGGGGCCGAGTCGGGCCTACCAAGCGCGGGTCGCAGCGCGGCGGTGGAGCCGGGCCTGGTTATCTGGCACGCCACGTGGCCCCGCCGGGCCGCCGCGTGGACACGACGCCCCTTCCCCGTGCCCGGCGCCGCGGGCCGCCCCGGGCGCGCGCAGAGCCTACCTTACCTGGTGGCGTCGGGGCAGCCGCGGGGCCCCCGAGCCCCAATCCGGAGGGTCAGAAGGGTCTGTGGGTTCAGGGGTGGGGTCTGGAGGCGTCTGAGGTGAAGGCTGGATCCAGCTGCAGGGGGGGATGGGGATGTCTCGCCGCACTCTCAAGCCGACACCGGAGGCAGGCGTGCCGACCACTCGAGACCCGCTCGGAGCCGGGAGCCCGGAGCGCCGCGTCACCTAGGTGACGGACAGCGTCCAGCGGCAGCCAGGGAGCGCGCAAGGAGGGGGCGGGGCGAGCGAGGCGGAGGGGCGGGGCTAAGGGGGCGTGGCCAGGGGCGGGGCGGGGCAAGCTCCCGGCGCCAAGTCAACCCAAAGAGGGCGATCCGGGGTGCGGGAGGGGTGCCGCCCCCGGGCACCTCGGGCGCACACCCTGGTCACTTTGAGAAAGGCAGAAGAGATGGGGAGGGGAATATTGGAGTCCACACTTGATTCGGATTCTGGGGGCCGAAGGGAAAGGAGCCGGGTGGCCTGGTTCGGGTTTTAAACTTGGGAAAGGTGGTGTCCTCGGGCATCATCAGACTGGGTTGAACGAATGTCCCCCGCAGGTTAAGTGTCCTGACTTGGGATGGCCCCTCAAAAGATAATGGATTCGCTGAGGCAAACACCTGTTCTCCAGAGATCGGGCTCAGGTGAGGGGAGCCCGAGACGCCGGCGCCCCCTCGGGGTCCCTCAGGAGGCTGCGCAGGGGGGCCGCTGACCTGCGCTCACTGCTTCCACAGCTGCCCGTGTCACCGAAGAGGTGGGACGTGTTAGAAAATCCTCCGTCTCGGAAGCTGGTCTTCTAGGAAACACTGGTTGTGTACTTGGAATGAGGAGACTGGTTGCTAGGCAAAGTGCTTGGAAGGAAGCTATTTTGTGGCAGTCAGCTCTAGAAACGAATTTCACATAGCAGCCAAAGGATAAGAGGTATGATCACTATTTTACCTCGGGGATTAGATGTCCTCCGGGGATGTGAACCTTGGTAGAGGGCTATGACAAAAAATATGTAAACTCTGATATGGCTTAATTATACTTAATTGTGGTCATTATTGTAAAATAGAATCAGCCATACCCTTCAGAAGCCAAAACAATACAGTGATTCAGTTATTTTGAAATTCTTGATTCACCTATCTACATTCACTGTCTAATTCTTGTGTTAGCTGTGGATGATAGAAGTCAAGAAAGAGAAAAAAGCTAAAATTCAAGTTTCAAGAACTCAGTCAATTTAGAGATAAGGATGTAGCCAGTCACTACCTCTTGTATTACAGGAGCACTCTTACATAGCTGATATCAGAAGCTGGATGGAAGATGTTTTGCTCAGTCAAGGCAAAGAGGAATTATATATTTTTTGAAAACATTAGTTTTGTTGAATTTTCTTAGTATTGGTAACTAGATTATGGCTGACTGGCTAGTCCCATTGTCGTGCCAAGGATATTTATGAAAACATCAAATTAGCTTAAACTTTCTCTTCCTAAGGCCATACCCTTCAACAGAAGGGTTCAAATGAACCTATAGAATGTAGGGCTTTGTGTGTGTGTGTGTGTGTGTGCCAGTCCTGAGGCTTGAACTCAGGGCCTGGGGGTGCTGTCCCTGAGCTTCTTTGGCTTAAGGCTAGCGTTCTATCCCTTGAGCCACAGCCTTTTCTGAGTAGTTTATTAGAGATAAGAGTCTCATGGACTTTCCTGCCCTGGCTGGCTTCAAACTGCAATCCTCAGACCTCAGCCTGCTGAGTAGCTAGGATTACAGGTGTGAACTACCAGTGCCTGGCTGAGTTTATTCTTTCTGAAAGGTAGGGCAAAAATGCATTAGTGTTTTTGGAGAATTATTCTCTCCATATGGGGGGAAAGAGTAGACAGACTCAGTTTCTACCTTGGGCTTAAGGGTAAGTGCAAAGTAAGACTCCCGCCTCCCTGTATGTGTGCATGTGTTATTTGCTTTAGTAACTCAAAACATAGAGGAGCAGCAAGCAATGCCACTGACACAGAGATTGGCATCAGATCAATAACTCTTAGGTATTATTATTATTTCCACTGTACTATGCATCTGAACAAAGTAAGGATTAGAGGTCATTTAGGAAAAGTGCCAGTCCTATAGTTTATTCAAATCCACAATGGTTATCTTCTTTTTGATGAGAAAGCATTATGTTTCACTTTTATTCATACAGATTCAGAAATAATTCACTGATCTCAAGCATTTATGCAGAAGTTGTTAGCAAAGTTCAGTTCTGGTTTTCATTCATTTACACACTGAATAAATTACCAAAATTATCTGTCTAGAGAAGATTTGTTCTAACAAAGTGAAGGATAAAATCCAAATGCCCATACAAAATTGAGTCACCCCATAATAAAAGCTTTTCATTAAACTCTGTGTTCTTTTCTTTGGTGGTGTTGGGAATTGAACCTATGGCCTTGTACATACTAAGCAAACACTCCACCATTGAGCTACATCCTCAATCTTGAACTCTATGGTTCTAACTGGATATATTATAGATTGAAATATAATCAGAGCATGATAAAAAAAACTGTTAGTGTTTTTCTAATTATGAACACTAAATGTTACTTAGGACTATTATAAAATTAATATTGGGAGTTATGTATGTAGAGTGATTAGTATGTGTGAGACCTTCTGTTAGAGTCTTAACACTGAAAAAAGAAAGAAACAAATCTCTAAATGCATGCTCATTGTAGATAATTGGCAGTATACAGAGAATACAACTGAAAAAGTTAAAACCACCCAGAATTCGATCATCCCACAGTAACCCCGGTCATTAGTTCTATTTTTACTTTTAGCTTTTTGTGCACATGTATAGCTAGTAACAGCATTGTATTTTATGGTCTCATGTTGCTGGCTTTCTTTTTTTGCTTACTATACTCAAATATTTCTCCAATGTCTTTTACATCTCTAAAATATTTTAATGCACACGCACTAAAATTTATCCTTAATTTATTCAACCAGTTTCAGATTTGGAAATTTTCAACTTTTCTCCTAAAATTAATTGTTCCAAAAATATTTGTTAGGAGCCCATTTGGCACTGTGCTAGGTATAAAATGTAAATGGTGAAGAGTTAGCTATAAAAAATAAGGTTTTGATAAACATCTTTGTAAATAAATCTTTGATGTCATCTTTCATTCTTAGACTGAATTCCTAGGACTATGAAAACATAACTTCAAAGGGCATTCTTAGAGCTTCAAAGGCAAATTTAAGAAACTAAAATTGTGCACTGGAAAATATTAACTTTTTGGAAAAGTACCAACAATAGAATTAATATTTATTTTGTGCAAAGTGTGAACTTAGCCAGAAGATGCTTTCTTGTTAGTTGCTGTGAAACACCAAGGGTATTTGAAGTATATTGACTTTGGCTTTTACCTCTAATTCTTTCCAGGATTTGCTGGTTTTCTCAATAGTTTGAGACTGTTTGAAGTCTATGCAAATTGCCCTACTTCCTCTTCTAGGAGTTAAAATGTTAAGTGCAGTATTTTATTTCCAGCTTCCTTCTTGTAAACATATGGCCTTTCTCCATTTCTTTCATTACGTTCTTATTTGAAACACTTTGTATATTCACACTTGCTAATCTGAAGTCAGATTTCATATTCTAAACCTGTTACAATGCCCATATTTCTGTAAGAGATGAGACATTTAAAATGTCCTATAGTTAAC